AACGCTTGAGGTCAATGTACGAGTATACGAACAAGATTGTGAATCGTCAAAATTCAATGTTTCCCAGATTTGTAAGGGTAGTTTAAACAACAAACCCTACATTTATTTGTCCAGGTTAAGAAATTCTGAACATTTTCATCTGACAATTCAGTTACCTATGCGCATACAATTATGTTCAAATGGCGTTTGCTCGTGAACTGAAATATGTGTACGTACACGCGTCGACAACGCGCTATCCACACTGCATGGTTCTTTCTTCTCAAGATAACACAGCACGTAAATTCAATTTTTCGACAACCCTTCATTGTCAACATCCCCGTCCTTGCCCTGTTATCACGCATGCATCGTCCTCTATTTCTTTATTAAGTATAATGTGTTGGGTTGCATTGTATAGAGATATTCAAATAAATACCGATGTTTAGTTAATCTCGGAAATGTTTAACGTTGACACACAATGATATGAAATTCAACAATGGCAAACTAGTCCGTGAATTGCTTTCCAGACGTTGGCCCAGCGACCATGTCTAAAGAAGCAGAGAAAGTCAAAGTAACGGTAGTTCTGTCCAACACTCCCACCGAAAAAAACAACTTACTACATAGTGCATAATGCAAAATATATAAAATAACTGGACTTTAAAACCAATGCGATGTAGGCCGACCAATGAAGTCTTTTGCGTATTAGAAAAAACAGCGAATGCTGAATAAAAACTTGGAACCATGTAATATTCAATCTGGGTTTTGAAATGCCAAGACAATGCAGTAGTACCATGAGAAAGTTAACATGTATAAAATAAGTGTAACACTTTCAAAGCGGTACATTGAGCAGGCCACATATGGAAGGATGAAAACGTGTTTTGATTCAACTTGTCATTTTCTAAAATCGCTATGTTTAAGTGTAATTATTTTAAAATTTAAACTCAAGCGGATAATATGCGTCAAATCATACAATCACACCAATATTTTTAGAGCATTCGGAATCTTTGTATTATACAACACCATACATACAGCAGTACATTGTCGTAATATGTTATTCGTAAGACTGAGTTGGCAGTTATAGAAAATGAAAATTAGAACCCGATAGATGAACTAAAGAATTAAGGAATTATTGTTTTCACTTTGTTACAGTTACAATATCAAGTCCAGTTCCTTTTGCCGGTATTTTTTTGCAAGCACGCCAAGTCGGCGAAACGACACCAGTGGGCACATGGGCAGAAATCTCGGACACCTCTACAAAGATAATCACATGCACGAATCCCGATGACGCAATTACACATACAACGGGCTATCTGCCAATCAGGGAGCCGACGTATACGTGGATAGCGCCATCATCTCCAGTTGGTAATGTTGAATTTATGTGAGTATAATACATTCTTTGATGTGAACGTATTTAAGTGCAAACAAAATTAATATCGAAAAAAATAAAAAAAAAATAATGTATCATCGTGCAATCAGTTTACCGTTGTAGTTTTAATATTTATGTACATTTACATGAGTCTTATCTAAATAACAGAAAATAATGAAATCTGAAGTTGGTTGCGGAGCCGAAAATATTACATTTCTTAAATTGTGCGAAATAACCTTACAAGAGAAATCCTCAAAGAAATTAAATGACCAGTTTGCGACTTTTCCAGCATTGCTATATGCTTGTACTTGTGAAATCAATACTGTGATGTCATTGATCCATTGTGGAAAGATACATCAGTCACTATTCCACACCCAAACCTAGACAGCGACAGTGTTGACAGAACATTGTAAATATTGAACTACTGGAAAATAAAATCGTGTTGACCCCCAGTATAAATATTACATACTACAATGTGTATAATGACTTTCTCTCTGAGTACTCACTCGAGTGTCAGATGACAATTCAATCAATTGACGTGAAAAGGGGAGGTCTTATTCGGGGCACTACATGCCAAGTTGACATGGTTGAAGTAGGGGGAGGGCGTTGAATGATCCATGTGCACCTGAACAAATTGATCACGTG